GGGTGGGGGGGAAAGGGGGAAGACACAGACTCCTTTGATAATCTAAGGTAGGGGCTGGCAAACTTTTCGATAAATAATAGGCTTTGCAGGCCACAGAGTCTGTATTATGACTCGATTCAGCCATTAAAATGTGAAAGCACACAGTGATAGTGCAGAAAGAAAAGCATTGCTGTATTGCAATAAACCTTTAGTTACGGACAATGAAATCTGAATGTCATGTTATTTTCACATGTCATGAGATATTTTTCTTTTGATTTTATTTCAACCATTTAAATATGTATAAACCATTCTGAGCTCAAAGGGCTGTACATAAAAAAGGGACAGGCTAGATTTGGCCCAGCTCCTGAACTAGGGAAAGCTATGGGTCCTCTCCCCAGATACATGCCCACATGCCTAAAAGGTCATCAACAGTTTTAAGAGTACCCAAGTGTAAAAATTCCTGACTGAAGGGGAGAAACCAGGGTTTACAGTTCAATATACTAATAAGCCTCAGTAAGCTTGCTACCCCAAATCCTTGTGAAAAACTAAAACATACAGAAAGTGGAAAAAAAAACTTCCATGGTAGCTCTGGAAAATATAAAAAGGTAACATTAATAGATGAGGAAATCTGAAAGATATAAAGAAGATGGAATACAACAGACAAAACAAAAACTACCACTCACAGACTTTCACTGAAAAAATATTCATGGAGTTTTTGGGGGAAGAATGCCAAAGAAAAGGTGTGGACAGATCCCTCTGTCCTCCTGAGGCAAACAGGCCTCCAGCACACAGCTCCCTCCAGAGGAGGGAAGAGGGCAGGAAAGTTGAAGAAATCCATTCCAGGCACTCTGGACTTTGGGCTAAAGAGGGCTGGGAGCAGGGATGAAGAGCGCAGAGAAATCCTTCCCAAGCACGCTGGACTTTAGCCATCCAGGGCAGAGAGCTGAGAGAAATCTATCCAAAAAAAAACAAGCACCCTAGGGCCAGGTGGGAGCATAGAGCTGAGACCTCTGCAGAGGCATCCCTAGGCCTCCCAGATAGAAGAGCCATCCTCTGAAGGCTGGGGTTAGGGCAGCAGGCCGAGCGAGACCACACCAGACAGAAAGCCAGGGCAAGACAGAGAGCAGATGGAACTCCCAGACTCCCTAACACCCTGAAAACAGCCACTGTCCTACATCATCTCTATGTACTGCCAGCACCAACTGGACAAGCCCTGGAAAATAATCTGAATTAGCTATCAAGAGTGTTAAAGAAATGGGGAGCCGCAGCCAGAACCGCTGCAGAATGTCAGGGGTTAAAAACCAAGTGTACTTAAGGAGGTTGTCCAGGAGGCAGCTGGAACAGGAAGTATGTGGCCTAAGGAGGATGCTGAACGTTCCTTGATCCGTTTGAGAAGACAGGAAAAGGATGTTTTATCTTGAATTCTCTGTAAGCTTGCAATTGTTCACATAGCAATCACTGCAAATTCTTTGCTACAGTTTCTGTATAAATATAGCCTGAGATGTAAACTCGGGGACACAGCTTGATTCTGTGCTCCCTCCTGCAATTCTGTCTTCTTTCTTTTCCTCAGTCCATGCTCTCCCTTTCAGGTACCCTCAATTACTTTGTCGGCTGGCTTCCGACAAGTGGCGCCCAAACAGGGACCTGAAAACGAGGGATAACAGCATAGGACATGCTGCGGGGTAAGGTGTGCGCACGCGGAATCTGAGGGACCTAAGAGTCCTGTAGGCAGCCTATTGTAAGTATGCGGGAGTTGTATATAGTATACTGGCATTATGGGCCAGGGTAATAGTAGGGTATTGTTTGTACATATGCTTAAGAACATGCTCAGAGTTCGTGGAGCCAGAGTGAGCCAACAGCAACTTTGTAGCTTTTTAAAATTTATAGAGGAAGTGTGTCCTTGGTTTCCAGAGGAGGGGACTTTAGATTTAGAGACTTGGAAACGAGTAGGGCTTAAGTTGCAGGACTATTATGATGTACATGGCCCAGAAAAGGTTCCTGTGGAAACTTTTGGGCTTTGGTCCCTGGTCCGAGACTGTCTGGACCCGCGACATGAGAGGGACAAGTGGTGAGAGCATGGCGCCCCGGGCCCTGAGGCCTCCTCTGAAGTAGAAGGCTTCAATAGTAAGCCTCAGGATGAGAGCAAGCCCTCAGCGCCGCCTGATGAAGGTTTAGGTGCGCACTATTCTTCCTTGTTTTTTGGGGATGAGGAAGATCCTCTCGACCCTGGGGATGCGGCTCAATTAAAAGAGGAAGCTGCTAGGTACCATGGGGATGATGGCCCGCTGCCCTTTGCGGCGTTTGTGGATGATTCGTCGGGAGGAAAACAGATAGCAAAATTGGAAAAGAAAATAGAGGTGTTGACACAATTAAAAGCCCTTATCTGCGGGTCACCAGTTGCGCCCCGCCCGATTCCCGTCTCACCACATGGCGG